CCCTGTCGCTCCCTTTAACGCTTTGTCAATGTCGTCACGTAGGCGCCGATTGAGGATAGGTTGCCTTGCCGGCCATTTGTGATACGGTGATGAACCCTCTACCCTTATGGCCCAGTTATACCTTGAAAGCATAGTGTGGACCATATGAGATGACTTATTTATTTCATATACCCTAGTCAATGATAAGTCGGCATCTGTATGGGATCGTTCAGGACTCACTTTCTGCTTGTATGGATTGACGCAAGCTTTAAGAGCATTGGGACGCTCCTGTGAGATAACCGTCATTTATGACCTCTTTACTAGTTATCATATAAGTGAAAGTATGACTTATTTAATCAAGAGTATTCTTAGGCATCCTCCGAGATGTAATTAATCAAAAAAATATGTCCCTTTATGAGTTACTCATGACCACAGAACAAGCAAACACACTTGACTCTTTAGTTGCAGGTTGCTTTCATAGGGTCTTCTTTGTTAATATGTTCCAAAGCATTTTTTATCCAATCTTGTTTTGGACGTATGGTTATGTGCTATCACGCAAAGTTTACTTTATGAAAGTTCTTCATGCTCTTTCTCTTGTTTGTCTACCTTTGTTGAGATTTACTCAGAAAATGAAATCGTATGACAATAGACAAGCTGATGACTCCAAAAATAAAAAACAAAAAAGAGAAAAAGAAGAAAAGCATTGGCTACCTTGTTAAAGTAATGCACACAGACTTTATCCCTGCATTGTGCACACACTTAGATGGTGTGATAGGACACAGTGGTTGATGGTGTGCTAAGCTAAGACTAGGATACTTAGGTAGTCTTTTAGATGTATTGGCCATAGTTCTCTACTGGTTTGTTTGCCTTTTGTGTGTTTACTAGGGGTCCGTTTGGGGCAGCTTATTTGGTGCGGTGACATTTTGAAAATACATTTGCACTGTTTGGGTAAACTGTGTTTTGGTAGCTTATGCGTTTTTAAAACGTTGAAAACAACGTTTTCACACCGCACATGTCTAGGTGTGATGGCAGCTTTCTGGTTGCGGTCTGACTTTTCCAAAAGAAAAAAATTTATAATAGCTACCGCAACTAGCTTATCAGCAAATTAATCAATAAGCTGCAGCTGCCCCAAACAGACCCTAAGTGTGAGACTTGCACACTAATATGTTAGGGGCGGTCTTTTTGCAGAGAGCCACATAAAACATGGAGGAGCTGCAATGATTTAAAGCTAACCATCTGCTTGCAGGTGTTGTTAAGCTCTCATTTTTCCGGATATGATTCATTATATGTTGCATGTAAATAACTCGTGCTAACATATTTGTAGTAGGTCGAGTCTTTTTTTGACTTATTACATGTACTTTAGAGTCACTAGGGGATTCTTATAGCAAAAATAAGATATAGGCACGTGTCCCGTATCCTAATTCTACATTTGGTATGGATGTCTTGCATCTTAGACCAGGCGTGTATATACAGAGCCTGACCGCCTTTTTGCTTTTTGAGATATGTTGTCGACTCAACAACACCCGACCTTTTTATTATTTTATGCTTGGCTTGCTTTTACATTGTGCAATGTGCTGACTTTACTCTTTCTTGAATTTTGGTTTGTCTAAGAATCTTGCATCAAAATTTAGGCTCTTTAAGGACTTAAAATGATATTTTTCTACAAAAAAATCCTAACGTCAAAAGGTTAAAAATAATTAAAATTTACGATTAAAAGTTTTAAACTATTTAAAACCTACACTTACTTTTTAACATGGTCTTCAGACCAATTTTAAAATGATTTGCATAACATGACTCTCTCCCAAGTCATATTGATAGGGCATCCATGCTTAAGACTATAGATAATTGCACCATATTGCATGTTCTGAGAAGAAGTCCCTGTGTTTATTCAACCCAAGTGGCCCAACATAGATTTTTACTTAAGTGGTTGTCTAGCACACTCAGGGTGTTAGAGAGTCGGACAGGGTATAACTCCTTTGTGGGAGCGTTTTTAGCTTTATAGTTGTAACACACTTTTCTCTTCTTTCTCGTAGCATCGTTGCCATTTTTTTGGCGAGTATAAGTCCTATCTCTTGGAGCTCTACCTCAATAGAGCCATAGGATTTAGAGTTTCCTTCATTTGATCTTAGAGCTACTGAGGTCTCCTTGGATAACACAATTCACAGATTGCTGACAAAGAGTCTCTGGTTGTGTTGGGTCGACTACCTTTACGATCAGATAAACTTAGGGACCTAATAGTTTCGGATGACGGATATGTGGTATCTTGACTATCTTGACCTAATTAGAATTACTCTACCTCTCCTTTTGTTGAACACTTTTGATCCATGTCATCTTTTTGTGACTTTGTTAGTGTCATCTCGTATGCCTCTATTGCGGATAAGTCGTTGCCCATTTGGGATACAGTGATTCACCCTCCACTCTTATGATCTGGTTAGGCCTTGGAAGCATAGTGTGGATCCTATGAGTCGACTTGGTAATTTTGTGGGACTCATATGCCAAATAGCTAATACTCATTTGGAATGTGAAAAATGTTCTTTTTAGTTCTCTGGCTATTGGTGGTTTATATAAGGATTTTCTTTCTGAGTATCGTGTTTCGAGATATTTTAATTTGATCTTGTTTGGGCGAATATTGTCGACTTTTCACACGAGGATTACCTATACATAATTCTTTCATATTTCTTTTTAAAATTTGTTTGTTTATTTTTGTCATATCTTCTATCTTTTCTGATTCCTCTCCTCTTCGAATCATTTATATGATCCGAGAGGGAGATTTACTTGGAAAGGGAAATTCTACGACGACGGCATAAGTATAAACAAGCTAGCGAATCCAAGTTTTTAAAAAGAACAAAAAACACTTATATTATAAAAAGTTTATGGAATTCCCATGTTATTATTCCTGATAATATATCTTCTTCTTGGATTTTATTCCTGATAATAAAAAGTTAATTGCATTATAAAAATTAATGAGACAGTGGGGGGTTTACCCTCTTTTCCAAGTAAGCTTTTTTATTTTAACAATTGTATGCTACATGTCGGTCTTATTGAGTTACAAAACTCTTGTTATTCTATTAGTCAAGACAATAATCAAGTGACTAATCCCATTAAATGCCTTCATGATTGAGCTCTTTGCAATGCTCATTGGATTAATTTTTTTCCTCATTCTTTTTTTAAAAGTTTTAAATGCTTACTTCTCTTATCATAATCCTATTTTAATTTCTTTGGATAATTTTTAAAATGTGCATTGCAAATTTATGTACAAAAAACATATGACTTTTTGCCCAATTTTGTAAATAGTGTGAATTTGGATCGAAATATCCATGTTAAAGGAGCTCTATTTTTTCTACTTGCATAAGCTCTGAAATGTTAAATTGGCTCTTAAAGGTTAGAATTGGAATTCCTCTACTGCTTTACCTATTCACATTGTTGATCTTAAAAGTCAACAAAATAAGATTATGGCTCAACTTTAATATACTCATCTTTATTCTAATCTCTTGGATCAAGCATCTTCTATTCAAAATAAAATTTTTAATATGGCTTATTGTGATTATAAATTGGCTAAACAAAGAGCTAAATGTTATTAGTTAATTAAAAGTGAGGATGATATAAGATTCATTTATCAAAGAGATAAAATTAGCGTGATTCAGATTTCATTAAAGATATTTTATTAATAGTGACTGTATTTATAGTCATGAGAATATTGTTAATGAAGTTATTTCTTTCTATTCTAATCGGTCTAATGGTCAAGTTAATAATGATCATTCTTTAGTATCATTTCGTGGAATTGTCTTGGTCTTTCTTCTCTTGATTCCATTAATATTATGTGTAAAATCAAAATTATATGAAAATTTTACAACTCCTATTCTTGTTTAAGAGTCTAGATTTTCAATCATTATGGTTCCTTTTGCAATAATGCTCATTCTATTTGTACTCCTTTTTTGAAAGACCACATTAGAATTTCTATAGGAGTGCTTTAAGTTTCTAAGTTACTAATAATTGTCATTTGCTTTTTTATTTTGACCCTTGGCTTGATGGAGTTTATCTTAAAGAGCATTTTGGAGATTCTACTTTTACTTGGTTTGATTTTCCTCTTAATACGAAACTTAAGAATATTATTCTTAATCACAGTTTAAATTTTTCTCATAATCATAGTGATATTCTTTCACATATTAAAGATATTAGTAAGATTCCTATTACCAATGACCTTGTTTTAAAGATAAGGCTATGATTTCTAGCATAAAGCTGTTCATTTCTTTATTCAGCATTTTTCGCTCATTTGCTTTAACCTCATTTGATTTAATGGATTTTCTTTAATAGAGTCCTTCATTATCATTACTACCTTGTTTGGTTTCTTTACTGTATGTAATGTATTTCACTCACATTTTGTGCATTACTCTTCTTCTCAGTCGGTTTTTTGGTAGTGTTTGTTTTTGGCTAATCATTAGATCTTTTGGGTTAATGTTTCTTCCCTCTTCCCTTGTTAGTGTATGTTTGCTGGAGTTGAAGAACTTCTCTTTTATGTATAACAACAAAGTATAAAAATACATAAATAAAGGAGTTCTATACATGAATGCATAAGATTTGTGTGGTATGTACATACCACACAATTCTTATGCAATTACATAACAAATTTATAAACTTAGACATGAAAATGTATATTTCACTTTTAAACAGATAGCCATAAAAATTTTAATTTGAGTAGTGTGCATGTAAATATGAATTTTTAAGTGTTGTACATGTAAATCCATAAGAATTGCATGGTATAAATGCCCCTAAACAACAACTAGGTGGACATATGCCCAGTTTAAGGACAAAGGAGAGGTCCGCCCTACTAACCAGCTATGCCATCAGCGCAAAGGAAGAACATTAAAAAACTCTTGCATATGACAAAACAGTTGCATATGATATATACATATGCAAGAGTGTTTTAATGTTCTTCCTTCGCGCTGATGGCATAGCTGGTTAGTATATATATATATATATATAGATTAGTGATAGTTATGTACAAAGGATACAAACCGATTTTGCAGGTTAAAAAAATGGCATTCATATGTTACTGAAAACATAATACCTCAGAACCGAATATGTTACGATCAGCAGATTAATTTGAGCTGACAAGGAAGGGATGCTGACAAACGCCACATTCTATAGTTTCTGAACCAGAGGTTGGAACCTGAACCTGCAAACAAGCAAAAAAAAAAAAAACTTATTTTGAGTTTTTTTAGATCAATTTTATTTTTAAAATTTTTGTTTTTAAAAATATTTTCGTTTAGTGTAATTTTTAGATGTTTTTATTTTATTTTTTAAATACTGAAAATAACTTTTAAGTATTTTGAACGAGTTTTTTTTTTTTAAATAATCATATATCTTAAGTAAATATATGAAGCATGTTTTGTTTTAAATCAAAATATAGATAAAATAAAAGTAAAACAAAAATAAAAAATAAAAAATAAAGGTAATCCCAAAGAGCCGTTAAAGTTTCATTTGGAGATGAGGAAAGCATCACTTCAAATTTGAATCAAATGTGCAATCATACTACCTGGAGGAGGACTGTGCAGGTTGGGCATGCAACCTCCCGCATTCGCCGGCTGAACCCGACCGACAATGACTTTGAATCTACGACGGAAGGTGGAGTTGTAAGCCATGGAGCGAAACTTATAACAAGAAGTTGAAAAAAATGGAAAAAATTTTAGGATGAGATATCATGATCAAAATATGATGATTCTCGAGTTTTAGATTTGCCATTAGATGTGTGCTATACATATATATGAGAAATCAATCAATATTTATATTGCACTAATCTCAAAATAAATCCAACGATTTTAAGACTGGATCTGCCTGAATATTCAGTCAATATATACTGAGAAGAAGTTTTCGATGAAATACCGGCTAGCCTCCTCCGTTTCTTCTCCATTTCTTCCTGTTAATAGAAAAATAGAAGTACTGAGATGATACCATCATTATCTTTGAAGAAAAAATGAGAAAAATGTCAAAATGATCATATGACTTTTTGTAGGAGAACTTTTTTGTAAAGTTATAAAGATATCTAAACATTTTTAAACTGAGAGTAAGAGAATTCTTTCACAAAGGATACACCAAGTTTTGAATCTGAGAACTGTTACTTGGAGAATCATAAATTATAAAATAGCATACAAGAGTTAATGGAATAAGCAGAGTATGTTGCCTTTTATCTCTCTATATGGAAATTGGAAGTGTAGATCAAATAAATCATCATCAAGTGGATACTTAAATCGAACCGTGTTGGTCGAAAGTGTTGTTCGGAAGTGTTGTTGTAGATGGTGGTCAAGGTTGTCGAGAGGAAACTTATCAAGGGACAAATATATACAGCAGCTTCTAGAAGAAGAGAAAAATGGAGAAGATTTCTCAAGGATATATTGATTGAGATAATGAATGTGTAGTCTCATAAAATGTTACATCGGCCGAAGCGTATGGGTGTCGAGTGATCATCATCATCAGTGTTATCCTAACTATTTGGGTCAACATTATAAATCTTCGTTGATCACGTGCCTACTGAGTGCTGTTTGAGGGGGTAAAGCAAATTTTTCACAAATTATTTTAAATAAATTACCCATGTAATCTAAGGTCTACAATTTGTTTTCATAATCCTTTGGCCTTGGGTTTATTAACTTGTCTGATAGAAGTATTTTCTATCATTCTTCATGCACGTCTAAGCTTCAATAGATGTCTTTAAAAAGTAAACATTTCTAAATTTACAAATTCTAGTTTTGCCGTACATTAATCTTAACATAAGCAAAATTATCACATTTAACTTGGATACTAGAGAGGATTACGCAGCTAACATTCAGATTCATAGAAGATCATTGGTCGAATTGTGATTTTATAAAATTTACCATTAAGCCTCAATAATATCCTTTTGTTGATATGCACACGGTTCAGAAAAACGTGAGTTCGTTGTTTCATTTAAGGGGAGAAGTTAATCTTCCTTAATTATCCATTATTGTGTTTTATCTCTTTCCTTTTATCATGACGATTTAAATTTTCTTCCAATTGTAAGAGGGATAGTCTGAGTTGTATATATATTAGTTATTTGCTTAGTGAAAAATTAGAGTTTTATTCTCCAAAAATCTACATGATATGAGAGTGTTGACCTCATTTTTGGTGAGGTTTAGTCTTCCTCTTAGGGTTTAGGATCTAGCCTTAGGGATCTCCCTTTGACTATCTTAGAACCTTAGAAATGGGACCCGCCTCATTTTAGAAATTCAACTTACTTCTGTACCCTTTTGGAGTTTCGCATGTGTGGTATCGACTTCTAGCACTTAGAATGGTGAAACCAACATGAGGGAACCCAAAAGGAGTCCCTATAGGACCTTTAAGCCTTAGGGTGACCTTTTGCACAATTTGCACTCCCGCGCGCACAAACTTCGCAATTATGAGAGTCGACACGGCCGATCACTACGATTCGCATTGCTTGCACCATTACCTGTCGAAGACTCGAATAAAGTTTAGAGACAATCGATCGCGGGTTGAAATTTTGTGAAGTTTGAATTTTGACGCGTTTCTGACCCGATTGTCGACGATGTCGTCCGAGCGACCCCGGACGACAAAACGGACCGCACCGGCCCGTCCGGAATGTCGATTTTGCCTAGGGAGGACACCCATCTTGTTACGGCACCACGCACGAATAAATTGCATATGATTTAATATATATATATATATATATATATATATATATCCCTAAACTCACGCACCCGGGGTCGACTCTGCTTTTTCCCCTCTCCCGTTCGCGTGCCTGGCTTTTCCCTTTCTCGGTCTCGAGTCGACCGAGCTTCTCCTCCTCCATGCGAGAGAAAGTTGACCTCTCGTTCGTCCTTGCCTGACATTTCCTGTCCGCCGCCTTCCTTCCCGAAGCCGCGCCAGCCTCCCTGAGCTGCGATTTTCCTTTTCTTGGTAGTTTTGACTCTGAGGAAGCTGCCTCCCTGGTATACTCGAATAGCAACTTTCTCTTCTTCCAGATGTTTCTCTCGCTGCCACCCGGTTCGCCACTTGGTCCTGGATATTTCAGTTGCTTCGCCTTCTGTGAGCAGAGAATACGTCTTTTTCTTCTTTGGCCCGATTCGAGTACCTTGGGTGGGTTGGGTGATCTTCTTTCTCTTCCCCTCTCTTCTCTGCCTATAAACATAGTTTCTTTTGGGGTTTTGTGGTTGTTGAGAAGTTTTCTAAAGGAAGGAGAAGTAGAGGTCTTTGCTGTGAGAAGAGTTTAGGAAGAAGATTTCTGTGGGAGCATCTTTCTTGAAACTATTTTTGCAGCACAGTGTTTTAAAGGTCACTCTAGAGAGGTATCTGTTCTTCCCCTTTTTTTCTCCTGTGCCCTGGTTTCCTGCGGTTTTCTCTCTGTCGAGCCCCTTTTGCTCGGTTCAGTGGACAGTGTCGCATGTTTATGTGATATCACACTTGTGTTTTCTTTGAAATACTTGATACTCAAGCATTTAGAAATGAAAATGTGAGCATGTTTCAGGAATTAGATTTGATTACTTGTTTGGAATGGTGGAAATATAACATGATATAAGTGTTCTTTTTTGCTTTACTTGCTTGAGATGAAATCAGGGCATATTTCCATTATTGTGAATAGAAAGGTTGAAACATGGCTTTGGAATAATTTTTGCTCCTCTTGCAAGCATGTTGGGATATGTATTATGAAGCCTTTCATTTATTTTCATTTAGCATGAGATATTGAAGAGTTTATTTGGCCTTTCATGCATGCTAGGGGGTTTCGGTTTTGGCATATTATGACTTTCTCTTGCTTAAAATGAATGCTAGAGAGTTCACTTTACTTTTTTATACATATATGGGGGCTCGGTTTAGCTCCTGCGGCTTT